GCGACTCTGTTCTCGCTTCGTTTCTCTTCTATCTTTTCTCCCCTTTCGCAAGCTTCAATTGTTAAGGTTTCTATCTAGAATCCTCGAAGAATTGCTCGATCTGAAATGGGATCGTGAGGTCATGTACTCCTCATCGCGTTTCGTGAAGCAATGAGGAATGCAGTAGTTACCCGACAGAACGTTTCATAAATGCTGAAACGGAAATTCCTGATCCGATGCAGAACTCATGTGGCTGACACGGGGCACGTAAATGCCCTTTTGGACTGGGTAGATTCACTTTTGGTACCGATCCTACATACGAGTGCAGTCAGCCATGGGACGCTTAAATTTCAATTGCCTATTTGCATATACAAGACTACTTTGAAACTTTTTGCTCCGGTCCTCGATCTAACATGGCCCTTCGACCCTGACTCCTAAGGTTGCCAATCCTTTATCTTTTCCACTACCTGGTCTAAGTTTGGAGAAAATTGCCACTTGGAGGCATCGAGGATGGTCCTCTAAATCGCGTCATCTGACTTAATCTGACTTAATCTTGTCATCTGAGTTCCCAGACATTGCGACGATATTCCATTCCCACAATTATATACAAACCAGGGGAATTTCCCACAGTACTTGTTGCATCCCAACTGACCCGACAGGTAAGTCCTCAATCTCCATTCTATACCCACAGATAAGCCGATCCCCCGAATTTTTCACTCGAGAAACGACCAAACTGCTTCTTCGTCTATCGCCCGTCAGAATCTTCAAACGTACAGTCACGAAGCCACGCAGAATGAGTCGAATTTCTCGGGAGTTATTCGAGGGTCGCTGAAAGTTTAGAATCAGCTACGTAGATTTGTCGCGGCGTTATCGTTTTGTTGCCAGTGTTTGTGTTTACTCCCATCACGACTCGTCTCGACACCGTAGCAATCGGCAGGAAAAAATTGAGTTTGCAGCCGTGCGAGGTATTCTCTGGGTGGAGCTGCCCTCAGAGTATTTTCCGTGTCGTTCGAAACGTAAAAGTGGAGCACTCGGGGACCGAGTGCCATGCAAGCGTATGGAACACCTGCTGCATCGTCTGTCGCAGTAAACAATTGGTTTCGAGAATTTCGACGAGGTTGAGCCGGCTTGGATGACGTGAGAGACTTTCGACGGTTGGCATTCCTGGAAATATTGCACGTGCCGAGTCTCTGATACGGGAAAATAGGCAAATCACCTTATAGGCAAATCACCTTTAAAGAGTCGAAGAGTCTAAGCATCAATGGAAAAGGAGTTTTCGCGAACATCTTCACGCGAGGAAATTTTGCGCCCTTCTGGGTGCCACAAAGTCTGACTATCGAGTCCACCGAGAAACCCGTGTGGATTGGTGGAAATCGATGCCGAGGCCGAAGAAAGTGCGTCGCAGACGGAGTGCGGGGAAGAATACGATTGCAGCGTTCTCGATATCGGGTGCCGCGAAAGGTCGTCTCATCGGAGGAACAGAACACAGTTTCTACTGTTACATCACAGCTTTGCCTTGCAAAAAGCGTTTGAACTACGCCAGCACCGTCCACGAGTCAGGTCTCTGTGGAATCCTCTCGCAAAAGCGGTTTCCAGCCCAATGAAAATGTTGAGCGGCTGCCTCGCTCCCTCAGCCGACGTTGCCCCTCCTCACTCTTTTCTGTTCCTTCGTGTGAACGAAGGTACGAAAGGTACGAGAAGCAGCATGCCTCAGCTGACAGAGCTTTCAGCGTTGGGAACGAGGTGCTTTACGTGTTGCACGTGCAATTTTCTGTGCGAACGCGAATGAAAATTTGTTTCATGAAGCAAACTTGAAGTTCTTCAACTTATCACAGCTTGGTTGATTTTGTGTTAGTTAAGAAGAAAATTTTCATTTTCCGTTTCGGAATATAACCAGTTTTCATGAGTTATTTTCACTGTTATAATGAGAGTTGAGAGTTTATTTTCATTATATGTAGATGGATCTAGGGCGCCCTTGGACGTCCTTCAGGGTGAAAGAGCCTTGAGCCGCAAACATGGGCTCATAAATAACTTACTGTAATCTTCGATACTGACATACGAGGGATAATCCAAAAGTTTCTGCCCTGAGGTATAAGAGAATGTGACAGACTGTTTCAAAAAGTTTTATTTTTCAGCATTACCTCCCTGGACGCAAATGCTGGATCGTTGGAACAGTGCTTCAAATTTATTGGGAAATTTTCATTTTTCACAGTCGAATAAAAACGCAGAAATGGCTTCACCGAAGAGAAACCATTGTCAGTTTCACCTTCATGGTCGCTTCACAGGAAGTTTGGCTTAAAATTTTTATTATTGAATGAGCTGTTTTATCGGGATTATTACATTTATTTCATGTGAATTGTTTAAATACTAAATACAAATAATAAAAAATTGCTGTGCATTCAAAATGCTATAACCTGAAACTGAAATTTTTAGTGACTGAAACGTGCCTTATATGCAAATTATTATTAAAATTACTTGTGCACCTAAAAACCTATTGCTAGCCCTTGAAATTGCTGAAAAGGATGAATGAATGGGAAACAAGTTTCAGCTCTCGCCGATCATTCCTACTACCTCAGAGCAGAATCTTTTGGATCGCCCCTCGTATTTTGGGGTCCTGGAAATCTGAAGACGTGTTTCCCTCCCGAATTTCCGTCGGAATTATTACAACTAATAGCAGAACACCGGCGTCCGCCATGCTTCGCCCTGGAAGACAGCGGCAGACAAATATAGTTTTCCTCTGCGGCCACCAGGTTCGCTGCCTGCACAGAGTGGATGACTGCTGATACGCGATTTCCAGAGGAGTGTCCAGTCCTCTTATATTACTGGTCCTTGCTAGAACAACGGAAAGTACCTCATTCCAAAACCTTCAGAGTGACCCCTCGAACAGGTTCTAACAAAACTTTCAATTGCGGTAAGTGCGAAATGTCAGGCGGAATCATCTCTTATTTTATACCGTAGTGTCTGACAGCATGGGGTTTTATTTACAGGTGACCTCGAGTTGGTTGTGTTGCGATCGGAATTTATGCATCAAGGTAACTACGTGCACATCAGGGTGGCATGTAAGGGTTTCAGAGGAAAGCCGGGCAACTAATGCAGCATGTTGTGCTGTATTAGTTTGCTGTTACCGCAGCGACGGACAATCTTTTACGGCTCCCATAGCGGCATATCGCGCAGAGATGGAGCTTAGCAATGATCCCAGCAAACCACAGACTGTGAGACTCCGATACGAAAATGAGAGGGGACAGCTTCGGGATGTGAAGCGGCACGGGTGACGCCACATCGCGCAACCGTTATTTCCATAAAAAAAAAGTTTTCCTTGGTTTAAAAAAAAAATCCTACACATTACAAGGCGCACGATCATGAGATTCGTGTGAATGCCTCGTGAACACGATGCAACGAGGTGGGAAGAATAACCCTTGTCTCCCTCTAGCTGCACGGGGCAAGGTTAAATAATGGAAGCGGATGTCGCAGTAGAAGTGAGACCTGTCAGATTCCGGAAAGCCCGATGTCCCTCAATGCACGCGGGGATATCGCAGAGGTTCGTGAAAACGTGCAGTATAGGGAGACGCTTGAGTCACGCTCCTGCATCATGCTGCACTGCTCCCACAGCTCTTATTCCCATCCCGTTCCACTCCCGAGGGGTTCATTCACATTTCCGCCACTACCGCACTTCCGAACAACGTCGGTTCCGCTCCCGCGCCCCTCTAAGAGGGGCAGCCCGCAATGCCAAATCAATCTGAGCGTGATTATGGTCTGGTGGACAGCCACCTGGCAGGCACCTGCAATCTTTTTTGGACATAGGTACAGTAATGCACATACAGCTTTGAATTCGGATCGTAGCAAAATCACTCGGTAGGCGCCGGTAGCACTGTCAGCTGTGAACTTTTGCAGCTCTTCGCAAGCTTTAACCAGGAGTCGAGCGAGTAAAACCGCCATGGGGGAACCCCAAACCTTGAAGCCCGCGAATAGGAAATCGCACCGTGGGTAGTTTGAACCGTGACCGGGGTCGAGCTACCGGACTGCCTCTTCGACCCAGAAACCTTTGAATCTAGCAGACATGCAACGAAAAGTCTTCTTGCCAGAGTCGCATTTCCATCCCTTTAAAAGACAAGCGCCGCAATAATTTTGCGCGACGGTAAAATCCTAGAGGCAAAATATGAAAACATTTTGTTTTCATCGTGCCCACGAGTCACCGACTCGCTCTCAGTAACGCATTTGATTAATTGCACAGCTCTTGAGGGTTTCATTCGCTAAACGCACCATTCGCAAATGCGCTCATCATCGATCTTTTCGGCTCTCAAATTCCTACGTGTCGTTCATGGCTGCAATCGAGCATGGCAGGTCATAAGGGAAATGAACGAGGTTGGTTAACCCTCTGCCACTCTTCCAGTGAGCGATGAACGATACATTCAGAACCATGAAAGAACGAGATGCCATTCAGTCATAGTCCATTAAACGCCATGTAAAATGAAAATAGGAGACTGAAAAGCAAAGCGACGAGACCCCATCGCCTTCAACGTAAATACATGGCCCTTTTCCGAGGAAAGCATCGAACTCGGTTTCGCAAACGCGAGGCTGAACCTTCGATCCCCACGACAGACGACTGCTCGAGAAGCGATACTTTATTGCGTGGATGACGTAGGACAGATCAACGACAGATCCCTCACAGCACGCCACACGGCACCGGATCCTCAGTGCACCTGCCGCTTCTTCCTCCTCTCCGAGACTGCCGTCGCCCAGTCGAACACTGGAAGAATACAACAGGGGGGTCACGAAGCCTTTCCCAACCGAGTCGTGCTTCTGGTCGCCTCGTCCGAGTCATGAAATCATGAAGGAGTTCTTCTGCAGGCAATGCCTGTGATAACTATGGCTCGAATCCAAACCAACATTTGATGGTAGAGGCTGAATGAATTGAACCGCATGATTACGGTCGATCGACTTATGGATTCGATAGACTGGACTTCAAAATTCAATCGAACGTAATTACGCCATTATAGTTGCGATCGTCATTCGCGAAATCGTCAATGCGAGAATTCACCTGGACAATCTTCTGGGAGTGTAGACGTTTCAGAGCAGTAACAGAGGCAGTTGTCATCGCTGATGTGGCAGACGCCGACGACGAATTCGTTCGGGTAATTCTCGTGGCATCGGACGAAGCATTCGGCCTCGTCCGCGTCGCCGTATTCGCACATCGCCAGTCCGCAGTGGCAGGGGGGGATCGGCGGGGAGCTGACGTCGTAGCAAGGGCCGTCCTGCTGACCTGCAAACACGAGCGGGGCGCTTTCATCGACGAGGCGGTTCGCGTTAGAGCTACGCGAGTCCCGCACGAGAGGATTAATATAGTGAAGACGTGTGACTGTCGAGATGCAGCGATGGGAACCACACTCCCATTGACGACGAAATGTGCTATTTTTCCAAGAAAGAAGGATTGTAAAAGTATGAAAACATGTATTGAAGCAAAGGTTAGTAACTACTATTTTCGGCTTTGCAAAGGATGAACGAAGGAGCAAACATTGCTAGTTTCTGCCATTTTGTCAGCGGACAACTCAGCTTTCTGTTGGGTAACGGGGGGAATACGAGTGCTGTTCGTATTCTCTCTCATAATTCCTGTTGAGAGATACAGGAAAAATCTGATTAGTTGGGGAAGTTGCAATGTAAATTATGATTATTCTGTCTGAAGTATGTTTTTGTTTTCCTATTTGTGTTCACATTACCAGCATTTATAGGTGAGGCCTTCCATTTACTGCAATATTTTTGGGGAATTCTTATTTAGGACACGTCTCGCATAGCCCAACAATGGGGGTTCAACACCTTTTCTCGATCATCCGGTCCATCAGGCTAAATGGAATTTAAGAAGCCGGTACAAAGTGCGATCGGCTCTACCATGATGTTCGTACATCAATGTTTTCTACATGATTTTTGACAACGCCATTCGGGGGAATATGAGCATTCCAATTTTGACTGCTTGTTCATATTGCAGACGCCCAAAAAGCTTGAAAAACACGGTGACAGGCAATCGTGAGACTTGGAAACTATGAAAGACCTGCTTCACTTGAATTCATGCGAAAATGTTGGGGGCGCTGAACAGGATTACTTATTATGGTGGGGCTAACACTTGTTTTGGAGAATATTTTCTCCTCAGATGCATAGTCTCTTAGTTTGTTTCATAGCTTTTCGGAAACTCACTTGCGTTGCAGACCAGCCTATATTTCCAGTTGGCTCATATTAATTATTTAATTGCCCATTTTACCCCGAACATGGAGCATTTTCTATATTCATCATAAGACATGATGAATATAGAAAATGCTCAGGCACACCAACACGTGTGAACCGACGGCGCAGTTTTGGACCGACTCGAACCCACAAATGACGAATCTTGTCCACTAGTCCGGATTAAATACACTCCTGTGACTTCCGAAGGGGACCGTGGATGGAGATGGGGAGAATAGTGAATAAGGTCACTTAAAAAAATAAAGAAATGGGTCTCAATATGGTGCCGTGGCGGCAGTATGATTATAAGCGGTGTCCTACAGTTCCGTGTCGTGTTGGCGGTATTCCACCGTTTTCATACGTTGGCGACGATATCGACAGATGTAGAAGGGGTCGGTATGATTATTACGAGAACCGAATGAACGCGATAGAAACACCGATGTACCGCAACGCCCTTATAAAATGCACGAGGAGTAAATGAAATCCATGATACCGAGAGCAGCAGCGAAGGAAACGAGAAGACACAGAAGCGTCTGCATTCTAACACATCAAAAACTGATCGGGATGGAAGGTGGAGGTGGCGAAACCTCAACGTGAGAAGAGTTGCAAGTGCCTACTGCGATGCGGATTTCTTCTTATATATCTGCGGCGGTGTCGTTACGTCTTCTGCATCGTCTGCTACGATACGTCACAAGATGGGCTACAGTAAGTTTTTATAGGCAGATCGTTCGAATTTCACGAGCATAACTCAATTCGTGTATGCCATAGGATTTCACAAGGATGTTGCCTTATTAGGAAAAGGGTGAGAACTGTATGCAGCTCCATGAGAGCTGCATACAGTTCTCATACAGAGAGCATGGAGAGCATTTGAGCAAGCACTGCATACAGAGAGCATGGAATCCGGAACTCCTGAATAGGAACTGCAAAAAAAAGGGATTGCATAGTTTGTTGATGGGATAGCTACACTCACACTAGTTTGGTCAATTGATAAGTCATAAGAATTTCTTGTACCCGGGGAAAAAGTTATTGGTGACGCCTCTGCATAGTGGCCCGTTGTGAAGGAGATACGTTTAAGCTAGGTCAATTCTATATAACCCAAGAACTACTTTCCCTCTCTTTCCGGGTTCAAATAACGGTGGGGACATCGTATACTTGTTTTCGTTGTCCATGCGTTGAGAACGATGCTGACTGAATCTTCTACCGCAACGCAAAAATATTTTCGGAGTAATTTCTCTTTCTAACGTTGCAATGTGGGAATTTCACAGGTGCTCGCAGCAGATAAGCGCGGGGATATAGGGCCCAGCAGACGCTTTTCTCGCCGAGTTCACCTTTCACCGACTATTTTTTATTCCTTCCATGTGTTCCGTTTCCCAGTCGAGGCGGATCTCTTCTCGTTTTTCAATTTCATCTGATCATTCTTTGGAAGATCTTGGTGCTTCGAGACCACACCAGAACCCTCAAGTTAATGTACGAGCAGGGAAGCACGATAATGATGGAACTAATGCATGGTTTCCTACGAGAGTGGGACATTTCAAATCTCTGCCATATTTCATCGAGTCTTCATGACAGATAAAATATGACTTTCCTCCCATCTAAATTCCTAAACAGCGTCTCGGCAAGTCTCAGGAATCGGTTAATTTTAGTGGAGTGGCTCGGCGGCGAGCGGCGAGCGGCGAAGATTTAGACAAAGACACATTGAGGCTCTTAGTCAAAACGGTGCATTCCGGAAAATTAATCTCCATAAAGTAATATGCAAGGTATCCCAGATTTGACTGAACGTAGATTTTAACCCTTTTAGTGCCAGGGGAACGATATATCGTCGTTTTAAGCCAACGAATCGGCTCGAGGTGGTAGCACATGTTTGGCCCCTCCGGAATTTAGTGGTATGGCTACCGGCTGCGTCAGTGTAGACATTTTCAGATTTAAATTGTGGCGCCTCAAATGGCCGTTTGTGTTTGGCGTTGGTCACGATTTCGCATCAACAGGAAAATTTGCTGTTGATGAGAAATTTTACGTTCAAATTGTTTGCCCCCCTTCTGCAAGGCAATATCCCAGGCGATGAACGAATGCGTCTCGCACGGTGGCCGATTGTTTGGATGTTATGGAGCGGCTTGCGGTAGTTATTCGGTCTTCGACTTCCTCCATTGATTGTGGTGGCGTCCTGTAAACAGCTGGCTTTAGATGAACACACATAAAGAAGTCCAGCGGCACTGAATCATGTGATCTGGGTTGCCATTCGAAAGGGCCTCTTCTTCCAAACCGATTGCCTGGATACTCCCGATCCGAGTGCTTTCGCACGACTGTGGCATGATGCGGTGACGCGCCATCTTGCTGGAAAAACGATCGGCTCATCGGCAAGGTGTATGATAGCCCCTGCCCCATTCGCAGCAGTGTCTGCAATTTCGTTAGTGACTGGATGACGTTTCAGAGCAGGTCCAAGTACGATTCCCCGGTGAGATCTCCTTCAATGAAGGACGTCGTTCCCGAGGATGGCTGCCCAGATCGGATGCTGCGTGTGCTTTTCTCGCATTTCTTATGGATTCTGCTGGCACCAGTATCTCCAATCGTGTTTGCTAATGCAGCCATTCGTGGAAAAGCCGCTTCGTCGCTGGAACAACTAGGCGACACCAGATTCGGACCCGAATTGCATTTGCCCAAGAGATTTTCACAGAATTCTGTACGTCGATCGAGGCGTCATCACTCGGTTCCTGAATAATGTTCACCTCGTACGGACGGAACTTGTGAATTGTCAACACCCGCGCAACAGACGAGCGACTAATGTCGACTGCTCTGGATAACTCGAATCGATTGCTGCGGACGGACGGCAACTAGGCAACTAGGACCGCTCCTTGAGCAATTTCAGTTGAAGGTTTGCGGCGGCCTTTTCCTTTCAAATCTGACACACTACCTCTGGACAAGAATTTCTTCATCTGGGCTTTTACTGTGACTTGCGACGGCTTCGGACAGTAAGAGTGTGGGTATGGAACATATCTCGTATCTGCCGCAGTTCGTGAGCTCTTTTCCGCCTTCGCACAACTTAAACCAGCTCTATCCTTTCCTATAACGTGTCAACTCACCTTTTTCCTCTGCGCCAATTCGAAAACAATAGGGTGCGCCTTTCGTGTCCTTCCCCTAGCCTATGGTATAGAAAGGCTAAGTCTTGTAGGCCTCGCGGCGTAAGGCTACGGTAGCAGAGGTCTAGGTCAGATCTGCCTGGGAAAAACCGAGGTTAAAGTGTTGCTAAAGGGAAAAGTCACTGGATGCGAATGGGTTAGAGCAGCAATGGAAATCCATCCGATCACCTGCATACACATTTACTGTATTCCGTGACATTGATGCCGATGGATACGGTTGCAAGAGCTTGAGCTCACCCCGGTCAATGGGATGCCCGTCAGTGGTGGTTGAGAGATAAGCTTAAGCTGTGAATGCAGCCAGTCGTCAGCTAACACGTCATGCGTTTCGCTTTTAGGGAGGTCTCGAAAAAGACATTGCTGCTTTAAAGATTGAGCATGGCCGCGCCCCTGACGAGTATCGCCCGAGGCTTTCATCTCCCAAAGGCCTACTCCAACGTCAATTCTTTTTCTGAACTGTCGCCTTGTTCGGACGCAGTGCTTGCTCAAAGCTGGGATGGCCGAGTCATATAAATCCGTTTGAGACTGCCTCATCGTAGTCTTCTGTAGGTCTTCAAAGAACGGAAAGACTGGGCGTAGGAAGAACAAAACTGTTGTATTTTAAAATACTTTAGTGAGCACAGATAAGACAATAAATCACATAAAAATAATAAAAAAACAACATTTACCTCCAATTCAGTTGGTGTAACTTTTCTCTGCAATAATCAATCGCTTATTGAAAGAGCTGGCATCTTCCCAACTAGAAACAGATCTCGTGAAGGCCCGTCCTGGGGATCTAAACGTTCCTTGCAGGGAACATTTTAAATCTAATCGAGAACGCTCGCTTTTTGAAAGAACCCTTATTTAAGCGTTACTTCAGCGAGACCATCCTATCAGTGTATTCATTGACAACAGCATCAACTTGGGCACTTGTCAATCGATATAAATATGAATGGATTACCATACAAAAATGTCTTTCAATTGTGGACAGTCAGACATTACATGGAATGTAGGAAATTTCGTCATAATGACTAGGTGAAAGGCCCACTCTGAAAACAGACTCGTTCAACTTAAGACAATGATATTCTTGGAACCTCGCTCGCGGGTGTTGATAAGAGAGAAATGTCTGATCTTCCAATCATAACACTGTCCGATGAAAGAGGATATAGTTTACATTGAGGAATGGTCCAACTTCCTTCTAGTAGCACCGGGCGGGCTTCACAGCAACAAAGAACTGAGAGGGCGACTTGGTCCGTGGTTTGAATATTTCTTTCCTCGTTCCTAATTCATGGCAATCGACAGTGTTGTGCATTGCAGTCACCACCAGTAAGTCGCAGAGATATCGCGAAACCAGACACGTGACTACATGCGCTGGGAGGGAATTGTTTTCATTACCAAAAAATAGATATCTCAGATGTAGGAGGACGAACATGAGATCGGTGACATCTGGAGATCACGAGCCTAATGTGCATAACTGTCATCCAATGCAATCAATGAAGCGATGCAGATGCTTAAACATCCAGAGCAGATGTTCCCTAGTCAAATGATTCTTTGCTGATGCAGCTGGATTGTCCTGTTTGCAGCAACGGATCGACTTCCTCGTGTTCCTCCACTTTTACTTCTCTTTCTCTCTCTGCTGTTGGCTCTTCGGAGGACGGGAGGAAATACATGGCGTTCGAAGCGCAGGGTTGTTTCACTTCCAGATACTCAGAGCTGGATTGAAGCAACTCTTCCAGCTTATCTGAGAGTGTCTGGAAATCGGGCCGTTCCGCAGGCTTGTAGGTCCAGCACGACTTCATCAATGAGTACCTAGATAAAGAAAACCTTAGAAGCCGGGAAGGACACTCTTACTGCACAAAAAGAGTAATAGAAGGAAATAATATTGAACACAATTGGGCCTGATGGACTCGTTCCTCTTTCAATAAGACAAAATGGTTCATATTTTTACCAGTTGAATGTACTCGCAGCACTCTCCTTTTCATGGTACAAAGAATCAAAACGTTGAAGTTGTTATCTAGTAGGGATGTACATAGTAAACCATTTGGACCTCTGACTCTTGATTCGACAGTAGATGAACGTAATCGAATGTATATATTCGATAAAGAATGGAGAATAATGTACTTTCAAGACTAATGAGACTCTCCCTTTCTTATGGAGTGTGACTGGGATCTCATCTACTGTAGTTTCTATTGCGCTATTTTTGCCGTCTGAACCGATAAAAATACAATAATTCTAGAGACTTTGGCGTTAGAAGTGTGATAAAGAGGAGACGAAGTTTGTATGAAAGCCATTCATTGAAGACATTCCCTTTCCTTCAACCCCCCCCCCCCTCTTAGGACTTAGTGGCAGTGTCCATATCCTTAATATATGACCCAAAATCATCAAAACAATAAAAAATTACGTATCACCAAAAGAGAAACTGAGACTTATGAAGCTTAGGCCCTACCCACGAACTTTCTGCAGGTCAGGCCTAGGCCTACCTATTTGCCCCCGAGAGCCTCATGGACTCCTGAGTCGAGGGTTGAAATTCTTTTGGGCCGACTGTTTTCAGGGGAAAAAATTCAGATGAGCGTTGAAGAGACTCACAATTCCGGAGCGGATGAGGTGGGTCTGGACATGCGATATCCCGACTCCAGCAAAGAGACGAGGTTCTCCAATGGGACTCCAGGATACGGGGAAGCACCCATGGTGGTCAATTCCCATAAGAGCACCCCAAAGCTCCAAACATCGGATTTACTCGTGTAAACCCCATCCACTAGGGATTCTGGTGCCATCCACTTGACTGGCACTGGAGAGAGCAGAAACAAGATAAAAGAAAGTTAGCAGTAGTACAGTGTTATGTCAATGGGAGTGACCTTGTCGTAATGCCTCAGCCGACAGAAGGCCCGCTGGAGGACATTTTACGCAATTCGATCTGACTTTCTGATGATAGAAACCCAAAAAGTCAGGCCGCTAAATGGGCAGCCGTGGAAGTGTGTCGTGAATAAAATGATTCATCATTATTAAGATTTCTCAACTGGATTCTGTCATCCTGCTACATCGTATGACTAGCACTCAGCCGGACGACAAGTGGGAGGATACCTCGGATGAGCGTCCCGAAGATCTCAACGATCGACGGATGACATTCGTCGAGATGGTTTCTCACTCCACTTAAAACCGAAGCAATGACTGACGCCTGATTTTCGACGTTCAGTTGCCGCAGAACACTGCTGGAACCTGTGCTTCAGGTGTTCGGTGTGTTGAGATCCGGAAAGTTCCTAGGTCTACTTTTTCTAAACCTGAACCCCAGTCTCTTCGATGGCGCGGAACGGGAAACAACCTGTGTGACATGATGCTCTGCCCTGCATTAGCAAAGCCTTTTCTTGGCCTAAGCAGATCAATCGGATCTTCATGAAGCCCGAATGGATGAGCAGGGTGTTTTTACAGCAGCTGATATGGCATTTACACTCATTTTGTGCGGATGGGTCAGAAACTTTCGGGAGAGAATTTCAAACGCGAGACTCTCCCAGTAAATCCACTATTCTGCGGTGCGTTGCTGAATTTATGGAAGGGGGATCTGTGGCTGATAAGAAGCACAACCGTACACCATCAATGCGAACAGTGGAGACGATAGCCGCCATAAGCTCAGGGATTCAGCAAAGCCCAAAGAAATATATTCGTCCCATGTCGAGTCAGACAAGTGTGAGTGCAACAACTGTTCACCGCATACCCCGCAAAGATCTAAACTTGTTTGTTTGTAGTTCAGATTGTGCAGTTGTTGCACTCACACTGTCTGGTTCGACGTGGGGCGAATGAATTTCTTTGGGCTTTGCTAAATCGCTGGGCTTATGGCGGCTATCGTCTCCACTGTTCGCATTGATGGCGTGCGGTTGTGCTTCTTATCAGCCACAGATCCCCCTTCCATAAATTCAGCAACGCACCGCAGAATAGTGGATTTACTGGGAGAGTCTCGCGTTTGAAATTCTCTCCAGAAAGTTCTCTGTGCAGTCACTTGTGAGTGATTGAAATAATGTTTCATTATCCTGTAGTGTCCCAGGCTTCAGGGATCCGTGGTCAACAACTTAGCAGTATTTTGTCTTCAATCTGAAATGAAAATTTGATATCATTATTTACACAGTTTTCCTTTAAGTCAACATTCTCATGGTAGCAAGATAATTGGAACACCCTGTATTAACTTGAAGGTAAATCTGACTACTGACTGCTTGAGGTAGGGGGGAAAAGTGGGGAAAAGAGGGGGATCCCCGATTTTTATCTGAAGCTCAGGGGAAAGGGCTCCTCCGCAAGAGAAGACTCAAAGGTGAAATTCCGGTAAACCGGCTCTATCTGAAAAATGTTCGTGTTGTAATGTGAATTGGTTCCTCTGACGTTAAGCTACCCTTACGGAAATGTCCTATAGGAAACCTATAGACTTTCCTATCGGTTTTTGAAACACGAAAAACCTAATGGAAAATTTTTTGTAAGGGTAAGTCTGGGGTAAAAGATACCCCGTAGGTTAAAATGGTCAATTACGGGTGAAAGTAAATGTAAAAAATGCAGGTAAGACATAGGTGAAAAGAGTGGAACTGAGGTAAAATACAGGTAAAAGAGCGGTATCATTTTGAGTAAAACTGAGGTAAATCACAGGTAAAATAAGGGGGGAGTGGTTACGAGTAGATTGGGACGGGGAAATTGAGGTAAAAAACCCCCGTAAAATTCCCCTTTTTTTCACCTCAATTTCACTGTCCCAACCTAACCACTCCCCTCTTGTTTTACCGTCCCAATTTTACCTCAGGCAAAAATGTTTTTGTAAGGGCTGATGTAGATCAATATGACATGCATCCAAGGCACTGGGATGGCGAGCAGTAGAGAACGGATTTCCTTTTCTAGTCAGACTTCTAGCGTATTCAATGATGCGTTTTGAAAATCTTCGGTCCCCATTGGCTTCAAGAAACCTGGGGCTTCTCTAAGTTCGACCATTGTAGCATCAGGGGAGAATATGCTTACCTCTGCCCTTGCTGATTTTCATGTATATATCGCCTTCGTAGACATCCCGGGTTAGACCAAAGTCGGAGATCTTGCACTGACGGCCTTCGGCCAACAAAACATTCCTGGCTGCCAAGTCCCTGTGCACCAACTGCCAGAGATCAACAAACATCAACATCTGCTTTATTTCCATGCTAAAAATAGCAAAGGCAGTATGGCTGTTCAGTCAGGCGCGGACCCGAGTAACATGCAATCGTGACGCTCAGGGCGTCATGGACTGCCGTGAAAGTAAGTTTTATGGGTTTCAAATTACGAAATAGGAAAACTAGGAATTTTGTATGCTTAAATAGCAAGTTTCAAGAACAAGGGAGTCCACATGCGCTCATTTAAGAGCCCTGTAACACCTAAGGACGATACTGCTTAGGTAAGGCACGTTTCTTGCTACCCTCCTCTTAGCTGGTAATTTCGGGTATACTTACTCTCGTTGGAGGAGTGAATTACTCATCTTCTAAGATGAGTAATTCAATAAGGTGCCTGTTTCCACCAGTAGTCCGTGAAAGGTAAAGCTCCTCTTGAGGCTCTATTTCGACGGAGATGACTGATTTCTTTCAAGCCTGTCTTTGCCTCTGGTATACATTTAGGTGCCAATGTAATACAAATTACCAACCCCAGAGAAGGAGAAGCAACCCTGCATATTGATCCATTCCCATGCTTCATTGTTTGCTTGAGAAAGTGAGTACGCAGACCTTTTCAATTGAGTCTTCATTCTTAAACCTTTCTTTTTCGTCCAAGTTCTTTCCAATCGGAAAGGTTTACACAGCCGGAAATTTTTACGATGCAGAATCGGAAAAATCTGAAAATTTATTTCATTATTATTATTATTATATATATAATAATATTATAATATTTAAATACAGAGTTCTATAATGCATTATATGTACCAAATTTCAAGCGAATCAGGCCAGATCGAGCTGAAAATTCCTATTTTTTTCGTTGCGTTGGTAGGGAATGACTCAAAACGATCCATATCCATATATGGTTAACATGTACGTCCCGCATGAACGCGTTTGAACACATACTGCAGTTGAACGTTCACATGTCTGGCATGAATGGTCGAAGGTTTTAGCGTGGTTTGCCTTGTTAGAAGAACCGAAAACCTTACCATGATTGAATCCATGCCCAAGGCCTCTATTCGCTTTGATAATCGGTGGGAAAGAAGTGTCGTACCCTCATGTTAGCAATGTAGGCCATGCCACGAGCGATTTGCCAGGCAATGGAGAGGATGTCATTGGGGGTCAAGCTCTCTCCACTCCCAGCTTCATTCTCCTCAAACTCCTCGCCCCCTACACACTTTCTCAGATAACTCCTGCAAACAGAAACCATTCGAGCTGCTCATGACTATAAGCGAGCAGAACACTCAGATTAGCCCGGCCGCACACTAATGGAACATTCTCGTGAAGCGTGAATCATACACTCTTCATTGGTTTGGAAAACTAGGAGTTGAACGAGTTGAAATATGCTTCATCAGTGTGCGGTGCTCAATTGGCTGTGCTCCATCTAATGAAGACTGTGCCATACATTCATGACGTACGCTTTACAAGTATGTTTCACAAGTGTACGGCTGGCATTTTGGGCGCAGATTTTCTCTGCAGAGATAAATTGTTCGGGTTTGAAGATGGTTACGATTCATCCCAACGAGACAACACGCAGACTGCGCCAATGGCTAATCTCTGGATACACAGTACATTCTAGTGATGAATTTGCCTCATCCTTACCGAGACTGAACATGAATTTTGAGATAGCAAAGGAAGTTTTATAAAATAGAACGCTTTGGTTATTGTAACATGTGCCAATCTACGAACTTCAGCGAAGCCATTGGCCTTTATGTTCATCCCGGACATTCCGTTGCTCAACGGCCCGTGTATCAGTGGAGAGCCGAGGCGGGGAGGAAGCTGGAGAAAGAGGAGACCACGAGACACAACATTTACACGCGGAGATGGATTTGAACCCAATGTTCGGGGTCGACCTACCCGTGGGAGAGGGCACATTACTTCAGGAATGCAGGATCTCCGGTTTCTCCGACTCATATGCCCCAGTGGATGTGTTCCCCAAACAAAATCCAAGGAATCATAATTTCATAATGTTACAAAAGTCCCTCCAATCAAGTCTCGTCCTGTAAACCCATTCTCCAATCCACAAAGCTTCCAATTCAAGATCCCTCCCCTTGAAGTTGACGAGAGACCAGGAGTGCTGAACGCAAACCAGTACCGATTAGACCGGGGTACTCGGGCCCTCTCTTGGTTTGTGGGTCTCCAAACCTGACCACCTCGTCTTTCCATCTCCTCTTTTTGAGTCAATTTGAACTAGTGCTCAAGGTGCTAAAAGGGGGTTGAGGATTTTGGATTCGTGATTTCCATTTCTGAACTAGGCGGGTTTGCCTGATGCCTTAATTCCTGTTAGAGTTTATGAGGAATCGGACCGGTTGATTTTTTCTAAATTATTAATCAGATTTGACATTTTTTCCATAGTAACATTTGAAGAGTTTCAATGTCACAGTTTTCAGTTAATTTCAGAATTTTTATCATCATTTTGTTTTTGTTTGGTTTCCTTTGTCTCAAGTAATTTATGATAATGCACTTTTTCTTACTTCGTGGAAGTTGTATTGATCACTCCCTCTCGACATTGAATTGGCCGAACCTGGTCTCTTGAAGAGTAGCAAATTGTAGTGGAATCAGGGCACGTCGAGGTTGTTGTCGAGGTCAAGGTTTTGATTAACTTTGATTTAATTCACCTTCCATCAATCTGACCCACTGCCTGTTACATTATGGTAAAGGTTCAATTCTTGGGGGAAAAAACGCTCGAGTTAAAGATAAAGCTAATGCTTGAAAAGTTACATTGATATATCGATAGACTGACTTATTAGCAACGGCTCATCTTTTTCTATATGAAGCCTCTAAGCCATACCACCATTCATTGGTGTCATGGCTTAGGGGCTCGTGCTTTGGGAAGTAGCAGGGTCTTACCGGAGACAGCCGTATTTGCAGAATTCCAAGATCAACATGACAGGTCCTCCTTGTTGTGTCACGATCCCCAGCACCCGAATAACATTTGGGTGAGACACATCCTTCAATAAGTGGAATTCGCTCAATAAGTCCCTTTCTTCTATTGCGTTGCCTGGATTTTTCGGCATCTTAACAGCCACCGTCCTGTATCCTGTGGAACACCGGCAGTTGGAAACAAAAGACCTTCAATGGCTAACTTTGCTTCGTTGCAATAAATAGACATAGCATAGATTTCTATGGTATGTAATGGCCTTTGTCCGAGAATTTTCCGTATTCTTTTCAAGGGCAGTGCAATACAAGCAAATCCAAGAACCCAAATCTAAGCTCCCTACGTGTTCTCTTCACGAAGTTTTTATGGCTTTGCGGCTGCAATGAATCGTTTCTTGCAAAGCATGGCTGCACATGCTTCAAATAAGCAAACCTATATCGGGAATTCTTGGAGTTTGAGTGTGGCTTTTTACTGAAATTGTGAACAATCGAAAGTATTTAAAACTTAAACTCAGACCTTAGAACTCAAATAAATGGTTCAATAAATGCACGAATTGCATCAGACTGACCTTGTACTTACTAGCAATTACTAAACAATTGAGACAGAGTAATTGACAGACAAGTCAATCAATGGCCATGCGTAAGATTTTTAAGACCCGTTTAAAATAATTGTCAACCGACCTCCAAACAACTTATCCAAGTGTTTCTCTGCTCCAACAGGTACTGAAGAATTCTGCTCGATTCTAGTACCTTCTCATTTGACATGTCATTTGTATCGTAAGGGAACGATGGGTTATATGGATATGTATAAAATGGATATCCCCACTTCAGAGTGGGAATGCCCTGATGCTTTCCTATGCATAGAAGTGTTCATTCACTTATTGACTGCAGCCGGTAATACGTTTTTTGAGAATTCCTCAACTAAAATAATGTTTTTTTTTTATAAAAGCATTGGTTGGGCAATTCGTTCATCATTTACATCCTACATTTACTTTCTCGGGGCATCTCTGGACTATAAGGTCCTCTTGAGAGAAGTGATGTCTTTAGAGAAGTGATGTCTTTAGAGAAATGACCTGGTTCATGAGGAAGGATCCCAAGTGCTTGACCTTTGAGAACTCTTCCAAATTCTCCTTCGCCCAGAACCGTCTCCAGGTGCAGCCGATTCCGCGGGAATTCCCATTTCTTGTCCACACCCTAAATAACGAAGGTTGATAGAAAAGTATCAGCACATCTAGTCTGCATCTTCTCAACTGCTGGTATCCCTCGATCTAATAATCTTAAACTTCCATCAACTTCAATTGCTCATAAATTGGAGAACAAGAAGATAAGTTCCTGCTGTGATGGAAAACTCTAGGACACCTCTCCTCAAGCTGTGAACTGCCTTGGAAAGTGAATTTTATTATTGACTAAGGGTGATTTCAAAACGGAAGTTCAGTTATAGTTTCAGTTCAGACTTTGGTCTCACTGAAGTTCCATTGGGCTAATGTCGATTTCTATCAAAAAGAAATCCCAACGGAAACTGCAGCTGAACGAAAAACACCTCACTGTTCGCACTTCCAATGAGGAGCCGCGTTGTTTTGCAACAGAAAGACACCTGTCTCCAGCAGGTGTCATTCTGTGGCGTTTCTTGCTTATGATTGGCCGGATAAAATTTCCGAGGACGTGCAGGTAGAAGTCTCCACTGACAATTTGGTTTTGAGGTCCTGTTTGGTCGTGGATGACACATTGACTTGGTCGTGGATGACACAGTGCATGTCAATGAATGTGATGTGCATCGCCTTCAAGGAGGCCCTTGCCCGCTTCACTTTCTGCAGTCTATCCTGGACTTCCCCATTCCGTACTGTTTCTTCAATACGGGCTCGAACGAGTTGGCACAGGCTTCGTCTCCAACATTCGTTGGAGGCGACAGTCTTCCGGTCAGTCGTTTGGTCCGGGAGCAGAAAACCGCTTAGCTTTCTGGAGAAGCTCAAAAACCGCAAGGTAAAAACCGTGAGATTTTCCAGAAAGTTAAGGTGTTACGGTCTCCGGGTGTTACCTCGAGAAGCGGGCCAGGAGGCAGGAAAGATGGGAGGCGACTTCTATCCAGGGGAGCTGGGGCTGCACACGGTCCAGAGGGATGGCAGTTGATAACATTAGCGGCCATGGCAGGATCCAGGGTGGAGATGTCAGAAATCGAACGGAAGATGGATGAGTCCTTGGTTAGACCACGGAGGTTTGCAATTGCCTGTACCATTTTCTTGGATCTGATTTCCTCAGACTTACTTACTAAGGTTGCGATAATGCTCTTTCTTTGCAGCAGAGATTTCGTTCTTCAACAAGATGACCAAATGGCGGTATTTTTTCAGTTGATCCTCTATAGAATGCTACCTGTCGTTTTTTGATCCACTGCTTTATTGTCGGAAGATGAGCGAAGATGAGCACCGCTGATGGTTGCTATTGCAACCGGGCTTGCTATTGCTCTTTTGTGCAAAGATGCGGCAACCACCTAGCGGAAACCTTCATATTCTGAAGTTTTTGTCAGAATGCGGTACACTGAATCGGGAGAGATTCTAGTCTTGTCTGAGATTTGATAGCAAGTGACTTTTCGATCCCCGGACAAAATCTGCCACTTGCTCAACGATTGCGGGTGTTGTTGCAGAGATTGGACCTCCAGATATCGGAGCATCTTCGACGCTTTCCCGTCCGCCTTGAATGGTCTTGATAAATCTGCGTATGGTGTCATAAGATGGAGTGTGGTCGAGTAGTTTCTTCAGTAGTTTGAAGTAGTTAGTTCTCTGTGTAGCCGTCTTGCTGAGCAGGATAAAAAACTTGATCGAATTTCGACTTGCGAAAAAGACGTCTGAATGGCAGAGGCATCCAAACTATTAATGTGCCATCTCCAGCAATGAAAGCTGTGCATCATGCAATGACCTGAAACTTCATTCACTGAGCAGTATTAAATAGAACTAGAGTTCGTGTGAGTTTCATCCAATTACGCGCGTTAGTTATGGAAATAATAACCAATACATAACACTTTTTGGATGATCTTCATAATCACCAAGGAGTCAATTACCTTAACACTTTGTGTGCCGCTCACGGAGATTCTCGTTTTTGAGACCTTTCGCGAGTCATTTTGCCTAGCCTATGGCCGAAAAAGTCATAGCCTTGTCGGCATCGAGCTTTAGGCTAAGGCAACTGAGGCTTAGGCCAGAGCGGCGGATCGACGGGGTAAAATGTCCGGTACGCAATGTGTTAAGAAAGAAAAGGGGAGACAGCACCCCTTCTTGGACAACTTCCCAGTGAGTGATTACAATGGGAACTTGATGAGTCCAGAAAAAGATCACTCATCCATATGGATGGATTGCTCTCTGAGAGACTCTTCAGCACTTTTTGTCCGTTTATGCAATAGAAGTCTGACGTATAATCGAGGAACAAGGCCCTCACTAGTACTGGACGAAGGCTATCTAGATTCGATGCCACGAAGTGAAAAAGAGACGCAATGGCGTCAACTGTTCCAGATGACTTTTTTTTATAGGTGAAATGAAAAGCATCAGTTGAGACGAAGCCGACTTTCGTGAGGTGATACAACATCAAATATTCAATAGCTTTTTGGAAGAGCGATAACAAGCTCGCTGGTCTGAGATGTTGCGATTCAGAAGGATATTATGCATTTAGTACTGGAATGGACGGGAGTCCATTGTTTTAGAATGCATGACTCCACAATGCTTTGATTGAAAATGGTAGAACAGGATAGGCAAGTTTGTCCACCAGAAGCAAATCGTCAAGTCGTCAAGTAGCAATTTGCCCACTGTTCCTCGCCAAGTACATCGCTTCAGCGGGCGACAACATGACTGAATGCAGACCGTAGGCACTCTAAGTGATGAAATTGCAATAGGATGTACAGACGACAGGACGGGACTGAGATAAATGTAATCAGAAAAATGCTATCGCTGAGTTTCACAGGCCTGTCTTCTGTAGGAGGAATTTCTCACACAGGTGATGTTTCAAGGAAAACTCCTCAAGGTTCTCGTCTCTTCGACTTCATATAATTTTCTTCCCCACTACTAGAGATGCCAATTCCTTTCTTGTTCAAGCATGTAGGAAGTCAAGCAGTTCTATCAGACTTGAAATCTTTGACTCGCCACGCCGTGTTTCAATGGGATATTGACCATAAATATAAATCGCCAGATATACTACCAGCGACCTTGCACATGACTGTGAACATATCTTGTTTGCCATTCATTGTAGTGTTAATGACTGCCTGACTGATCTGCTGGTATTCAACATTAGTATACTGTTTCTGCAAGATGGGCGCTGCATCACGTAATAAGACAGGTATAAAGAGAAGGAAGAAAGTCAGGTAGAACACGTAAAGAGAAACTAGGTCATGATGATGATGATGAAGGGTTTATTTGAAATGGGAGTAGTGCCAAAGCAAATTGATCTCCCGAGTCAGGGATGCAAGTACAAAAACAGAATGGGTCAGGATAAGAAAAAAACAACAGATAAAAGCATGAAGATGTTGTGGTCACAGAGAGGACACCACAACGGAAAGAAAGGTAATAAAACGTAAAAGGGTCAAAAGGCAAAAAAGACAACAAAAAAAACAAAAATGGGGGAATTGATACAGGATAGGTCACACACCTTTTCAGTAACCTTATCACGCTGGGAACAGTAGAGTCATAAAAACGTTTCGTGCGGCATTTAATTTCGTACAGGAGTTTTGTCAAGTCATGGCGAAGATTGTAGTTTGTCGGGGTTCGATAGGGGGAAAGAACATGTCGGCGGTCAGGGTTTCTCAAGAGAGAGGCATCGTATTTGGCAGTGAGTATAGTTCTTCTTTCCTGCAGAGAAGGAAGTTTGATGGAGGCAAGAGCTGCCTCATATGAGGCGTAACTGGAACTAAGGAACTAACGCAGAGTACACTTCTGAGTTAGTTCGAGAGAATGGGTTTGAGAGGCAGTTAGGGATGAGTGCCATTAGGGAGCAGCATACTCCAAGACGGGCAGATATAGACTGTCCACACGAGGACGAGATCAAGTGTGGGGGCTCCGAAAGATTTCCAGGCTTTCAACATGAAAATGCGCTTGGATGCCTTGGACAAGATGTTCTTGGTGTTTGCGTCCCATTTAAGATTGATTGAATCATCACGCCTAGGAGGCGAACCACTTCTAATGATTGTAGGCAGCCGTCATCTGTGGTCAGGTGATGAGCTGGGATGGGGTATTTTGTGCGGCAAAAATGAATTAAAGAACACTCCTCAGGATTCAGTTTCATTTTGCTGAATTTTGCCCATTCATGATCTTGATCTAAGACTTTCTGGAGATCAGGTTTTCGGGGTGGACAAAAATCATGGTTTTGTCGTCCACATACTTGAACGACAAGGTTCCTTTTTGGAGGTCATCATCAACCATCAGAAAAAAATAAGAAGGGGCCTAAGACCGTCCCTTAGGGAGCCCAAACGAGAGGAGGACTTCCTCAGCAAGGACTCCTGAGTACCAGGTCTGTTGGGCCCTGTCTCGGAGAAAAGCAGCTGTCCACCGAACCATGAGGGGGTCTGCTCCCAGTGATAGTAGTTCTCCAATGATGATGGTATCGAACGCCTTACTAAAGTTCAGGAGGACACCGGTTGCTGCCTTCTCAGAGTCTACCTTTGGCATTGACAAAATGTAAAAGATCAACCAGGTAGTCAAGCGTGGACATACCGTTGCAGGATCTATACTGGGATGGGTGAAGCTTCACGGAGACCACCTTTAATCTTGTCAGGATGATTTCTCCAGCATCTTGCAGGTTATGCATGTGAGAGATATTGGTCGAAGGTCGTTGAGGGTTTTTGGCGGGTGCTTTTTTGGAATTGGGACAACAGTGGCCAGTCTCCAGGCTATTGGTACTTGGCCGTCATTGATGGAAGTATTGAAAATAAGAGACAGTAGAGTAGCGAACTTCAAGGCGAACTTCTTGTAGATTTTAGACGGAATGCCATTTGGTCCGGGAGCAGAAAACCGCTTAGCTTTCTGGAGAAGCTCAAAAACCTCAAGGTAAAAACCGTGAGATTTTCCAGAAAGTTAAGATGTTACGGTCTCCGGGTGTTACCTCGAGAGGCGGGCCAGGAGGCAGGAAAGATGGGAGGCGACTTCTATCCAGGGGAGCTGGGTCTGCACACGGTCCAGAGAGATGGCAGTTGATAACATTAGCGGCCATGGCAGGATCCAGGGTGGAGATGTCAGAAATCGAACGGAAGATGGATGAGTCCTTGGTTAGACCACAGAGGTTTGCAATTGCCTGTACCATTTTCTTGGATCTGATTTCCTCAGACTTAGTTGCGATAATGCTCTTTCTTTGCAGCAGAGATTTCGTTCTTCAACAAGATGACCAAATGGCGGTATTTTTTCAGTTGATCCTCTATAGAATGCTACCTGTCGTTTTTTGATCCAGTGCTTTATTGTAGGGATCATCCATGGCTTGTCCTTGGAACTGATACGGCACTCTTGTTGGGAGTGATGTAAATCTATCCTCTTGTTGAGTATTCTTGTGAAGATCATTTCTTTAGTATTTGCATCAGTTGCAGCTGTTAGCTCAGTCCAATCGAAATGCGTCAGCCATTGCTCGAAATGTCGTAAAACAGTCAGGGAAGCGGTAAAATGTCATAGAGATGATTGTCTGGGCATGGGGGACATACTGGCGGGGCTTGTACCATATTGCGTAATAATCAGGGATGTAGTAATATTATGAGAATAAAACTTGAATTGCCGATTTTTATAGTTCACACGCTGAATAAATTTAGCGTCGTCTTCACTAGAATGCAGATTCTGAAACTTTAAAGTAAAATTCTTCACTGGAGGGAACACCGTGAGATAGCCCCACGGGAGGGACGTACCTGCACAAGGTAGGCGACGTCACTGCTGTAGACTGTGGAGGGTTCCCTCGTTGAAATGGTTTGAGGATAAACAGAGGTATTGTAGGAACTGGACTCTCCCTCTCCATTGTTTCCTTGTCCCGTCCAGTAAGCTACCACGGCCAGGAGTCTCTTGTTCGCTTTACGCTTCCACCTGAGCAAAACCGTACAGATATTTTTTTTTTTTTCTCATGCGTCTCGAAGTAAGGTCAGTATGATGCGTCCAATAGGATGAGAGACGAAATAACGATAAGGGAAAATAGTAAAACTTGACGTGAGGTCAAGGTGAAGGTTTAGTTGAACGTACGAAAAAGTTAGCCTGATTCCGTCTGTCGACACGCTGTCACATTTTTTTAAATATTGAGTGCTCCATGTCACTCGTTAAAAAGCTAAGTTTCGAAAAATATGTAACAACATTTTTTTTGCACTCCGGGGTCCTTAACTAATCCGACCAGATGTTAGAATGATTTCTGCAAAATGTTGCCCATTAGTTGTGACTTCATGAAATCCCTGTATATTTGTCTCGATAGAACCTTTACTGACTCCCACGTACCTAAGGGGAAGAACAGGATTACAACTGACTTCATCGGAATCTGAGCAAAAGGGAAAGAGAATTGACAGATTCCTTCTCATCTATCCCACTGGTCTTCCTCCTAAATTGCATTTGACAAGATGTCTCCACCCCCGGTCTTCGTTACCTTCCTGTGGATTTCCTCATATCGAATTTTTTCTGCTCCCACGTTTCCTCGTCCCCCCTTTGCAAAATGTCCGCCTGCATCCACCTGGTTGAACGACGAGCCGGATAGGGGGTGGATTTGGAACCAGGTGGACATCTCCTACAGGAGGATTTACCCCTAAAGGGACTTCCACCTGGTTTCAAAATCACTTGGGGGAGGGGGGGTGGACGTTCTATAAGGGCAATCCTAGTTGTATTCTTGCCATTCTCTCGACGAAGCAGGCAAATTCAATTTTTTTTTTCCAGCTTGGGGTAATTATTGGGTTCTCTCAATAAAATGGAAAATTAAAACTCTCAAACTGTTATGACATTTCTTAAAGCTAGTCGGCTGACTTGATGCTTTCTCCGAGCTCCCTCAAGCCATCCGTAACTTGGGCCGCGGCAGAATCTGTCTCAGATTGCAAGCGCACCTATGGCGCACCACACACTCGGTGGCTTGCATGAGGAATACACTCTTTCATTCATTAATTTTCAAGACCGCTCATCGCCACTAGATGAGGCTGAGGTTGGAGTAGATCAAAGAGCTTCCTCCATTGTTCCCATTCCCGGGCAAAGGAATCGTGCTCTGCATGTGGGACGCCGAGCTTTGAATGCCAAAAGCTTCACGACGTGGTGGTTCCATCTTGTACGAGGTTTACCGACTTGGCTGTACATCATATGGGATTAAGAGGCTCTCTTTGGAAGTTTCTCGGAAAGCATCCCTTACAAAATGTCCCCCTGCATCCACCGAAGCTGAACAAAAGGCGGATGACAATTCCGTCAATTCCCGGGTTCAATTCCATCCCCAAGTAACACAAGATATTCCAGCAACGTTTAGGAAATGTTGATGAACAATGTTGCATCTATGTGTAAATGTCCAAAACGTCAACGTTGCTCAAATGTTGCGAAGGAACATTGCAATTACGTTGCAAATCGCTACTTATTCATTACATATACGTTGCAGATACATTTCAGTATTTATGTTGCTGCAATGTTGATTAAAAACGTTGCTTCACGGGCACCTAATCTGGGCCTATATTGGCATTACGGAAAAGCGTAGGCTTCACTGGTCCTGAACTGGACCGATATTTGACCAATATTGAATTANCAAAAAGAACCCTTTCCAAGAACTCGTCGAGTTCATCCTACAGGACAATAAAACTATGGTAGAGAGTCTGCGATCTCAATACTTCATATCCTCATTCTGGGTACTAGCTGAGGAAACGAAGGATTGACCTCGAGGACACTCCATAGAACAGTGGTGCACAACCTTTTCCCCGTAGAGAGCCAAAATTTAGATTTCGGCTCATGTTTGAGGGGATGGAGGGCCGCAAACCCTCGAACATGAGCATAAATAGGCCGCATACAAATATGGATATTTAGAGACCGGAGGCATCCAAGGGGCCGCAAAAAGGGTCTCTGCGGGCCGCGGGTTGTGCATCACTGCCATAGAACATTGCTGTGTTACTTGGGTCCTTATCATTACAGGAGCACAGGAGGTGGATGGGTGGCTTTGAAACCAGGAGTGGATTTCCGTCTGGATGTATCATACATCCACCTGCTTCCAAATCTACCTGGGGGGGGGGGGGGGTTGGACGTTTTGTAAGGGATGCCACAGGAACGATGGAACCGCTGAGTCTGAGATCTCTCGATCCGAAAATGTAATTATTGGACCTTTTGGCTCTTAGGGATGCCGGTACTCTGGATCCTCTAGCGGTGTGGGATACAGATCATAATTTCGGCAACATGTGTCCGAAATCTGATTCTTTGTCATTCAGTCATCGCTTAAAGTTCATGGCCATGGATGCTAGTGGGGAGATAAACAACCTTAAAACCTACTTTAACTCGCCCATTCGTTGTATGAGCAATGCCACTTGACAGACAGAGGCAAATATGTATGAATGAGTATATGTACATGTACGAGGGGCGATAAACATTTCCGGGACTGACTTTTTTTTATGATACTGTGGTGACTCTTTCCGACTACTGATGGATATATCCTTGAAAGTAGTCCTCTTCGGCATCTACACAAATGTTCCGGCGTTTCTTCAGTCCCTGGAATAATTGCTGGCACGCGAGTTTTGGAATCACCAGCAGCACTCGTGGCGCGTTCGTAAAACTGCTTTAAAGGTCCTGAAATTTCCTTCATTTTCCAATTTCGGCGGTTTCTGACCTATCTCGCAATCTCTGTGCTTCGTAAGCCACCCAACTCGCCGGACCTAGTTCCTAGGATTTTCTTATTTCTTTCCCCTAAGCTAAAGAGTGTGCCGAAATGTGTGTGCCAGGCACTCAAAGCAAAATTGTAAATACGACGCGAACTCTGCTGGTGATTCCAAATGTTAAGTGTCAGCAATGTTTCCAGCAGATGAAGAAACGCCGGAAAATTGTGTTGATGCCGAAGAGAAATAGTTTGAAGGATAAAACCATCAGTAATTGGAAAGAGTCACCACAGCGTCATAAAAAATTCAGTCTCGGAACTTTTTGATCACCCCTCGTATGAGAGCACAATACGTATATTAGAAGGATAAGGAGGGCCTACCATAGCAAGAGGCCGGTAAGGACTAAGACGGCACAGGACGCAATGAATATGCCTATATAAACGAGGACAGTCAGGTATTTATTTTCGTTCCAATCCCTCGTTTCGCCATTCTCTGTTGTCCAGGGTATCCTCGCCCGTCCATCTGGCTCCAACACTTGCATCTGTTCCCCACCTGCAAGTCATACGCCTGTACATGCACTGCACACTTAGTCACGCATAGAGAAATATAGCTAGATGATACGAGGGGCAACTAAAAAAAAGACGTAAGTTGTAAGTTGTAAAAAAGTAAGTAAGTTGAAAAAGGAAATTATTAACAAGCACGTGAGGGTAGATGGCAATCCTCAGGATTTATTTTACCGCAAAATTTCCCTGTACATTTAGACCAGTGGTGCCCAACTTTTTCGGCTAGGGGGCCACATAGCTCGCTCCCACAACCATCGCGGGCCAGTATTGTAGGAGACTATTTTAATGAAACCTAAGGGTATTTATTGTGGGTTAGGGCCTCGCGGGCCACTTGTAAGCACCTCGAGGGCCACTTTTGCCCGCGGGCCACGGATTGGGCACCACTGATTTAGACACTTGTCGCATTTGTGTACGAGCGTGCGTATGCAGTGGCATAGAACGATGTGGCCTAGCACCAAAGCCTTTCGCGTCCTGCCAATTGCACATCATCATATGTGAAATCGATAATCGATGAAAAAGGTTTTGCAGTTCCCTTGCTAGACGATGGAATACACGTCTTAAATAATTCGTCACAAAACATTACATTAAACCACAGACCGTGCCATTTCATATGCAGATAATACAAACAAATCTAGGAGCACGAAAGCGTTCCTCTAGTAGAGGAAGCACCACTACATGAGCAACATTGGCAACTAATCAGAGTTTTCATATGCCTCTCTCAACAGGATTAACATGAAGGAAAATAAACAGGTGTCCATATTCTCACCAGTTATTCTATACCCCGCAAATAGTTTAAGGATCATGGCGAAGTGTTATGTATCTGACTTATTACGCTGAAATATTGTAGACCTCCTTAATGGCAATAACATTTTGTTTCATTAAAATAATACCAATTCGAGTCCCTTTTTTGTTCGTGTTCATCGTGATAAAGTTAACTTACCGTAAATTAATCAAACACTGGATTCGTTCTCGCCCTGAATTGCTCCTATTACCTTTTCAAAGGTCAGTAGTACCTTGGTTGCGTAACTTTCAATCCCCCGGAAATTCGCAACACTGCTATTCTTGACCCATTGAGTCGTTGGGTTCCTCCTACCTGGTCCGTGTCCGGTGCACCTCGGGATGTTGCAGTATTCCCAGATGATTCCTTTGAGAGAATCGACGAAGCACCAGGGACGGTCATGGTTCTTCATGTTCCGGCAATAGTTTTCCGGAGGGATCGGGTCCATGATCCCGTCTTCGTTGACTTCCTCCAAGAGCGAGGCGTGATGCCAAACGATGCAGAGCTTCCCCGACCAACTCCTGTTCATGTGGCCGATATATTCCAAGCCTTTTGCCGTCCTCAAGCATTCCGGCGGCAAATGCTCCTCCTCTACCATAGGAAAAATGATAACATGAAAAGTACGAAATTTTGAGCATATAATTTTCTATTCGTCACAAGAGTCCTTTATTTTCTAGTCATGACTTATAGGACAGTACAAAATAACGAAACTGAAAAGTGTGGGAATCGGACGCGGCAATCCATCTTCAGATTAAAAGTTTAAAGAAGTTAGCAAATTAGTTGTCTCACTCTCCTCTTCCGGAATCTTAATGATTATCGTTGCTTTTGAACGTTTGTCGAATAGACACGTTTGATGCATTTGCACTGCCTCCATGGACTGCAGTTGCGAACTGACGGACTCTATCACAGGCTTGGATATTTATAACAGCTCAGCGAGTGGCGCAGCCGCATCAAATTAGATTGCATAGGAAAAATTATTTTTCATTACTTCTGAATTGCCCTCAATATATTTTCGCTTTCGGTTTATCATCAGACATACAGTGTTTCGCATTTGAGCCGATCCGTGATTTCGCGGAATCATACTCCTCTTAGTTATACTAGTAGTGTTATTGCACGAGAAGTTAGTGGAGTCATCATTTTGATGACCAGATTCATTATTTTGAAGGTTAACTTGCATCGTCTCTGCAATTGTCTTACTTCAGGGCAATCGCCATCCCTCATGTAGAAAACCATGAACCATTGGTGGCCCGATTCCGCTCTTTTTATCTGATTGGAAAGAAAGTTCTCGGAATTTCATGAACAATTATTACAACCCAGTTTATTTAAAAGCAAAATCATCTCAATCATGAATGTAATCACCATTGGCCTCTATCACTTCACGCCAACGTTTATGCAAACTATGGATGCCATTCCA